TTGAGGCACATTAATTGCAAATGTAGATGCACCCTCTATTTACCAAAAAGGCACGAACAGAACTGAAAAGTGCTTTGCAGGTCACTCTTACTGAATTGGAACTGCAGAGCCAAATTCAATCCTTGGACCTCTGTTGTCCCATTGTAAACAACATATGGAAGAATTTGGTTGTTGGAAGGAGTCGGGAGTTGGAAGTCAGCCATCCTGACTCAGAGCCCAACCTTGCAAACATATGACTTCCATCTCTTATGCCAAAAACTTTCCATAGAGAGAGTTATTATGGGGCCCTGCCATTGCATTTTAGGTCCCTTTTCAAGACACCAGAGACACTCCATGCCTGACGAAGGGTGACTGTGCCTTGCTAAGAACTTTTTTTCCAACTACTCAGTTTAATAAAAGCTATCACATCTACCCAAAGAACCTTGCCTGCCTACATCCTTAGACCACCATGACTACAACCAAAAACCCAGTTGTCAAGACAACTGCATTTTATCGTCTGTGATAAGTGTGCCTTACTGTGCAGCTTGCCCAGCACTCTATATCCTAAGTCAGCACTCATTTAATGTCTGTGGACATGTCTGTACTTTCTTTCAAGGTCCCTACATACAATTGCTGGGATTTTTTTGGTTTACATTTCTCTGTGTCCCAAGATGAAATTATTTTGGAAGCTTTGAATAAAAGTAATTTTAATTTAGATTTGAAAGGTTATAAGTTGAGACTAAAACAATAGTTACTTAGTGTAAGCCATATGCATGCACACAACTTTATAGTTGCTTAAGTGGGTACCTGGGAAAACCAGTGATGTACACATACTACCTAGTTCTCAGTGTCTACAGCAGAGTATCTGCTCCTTTCCACAATTATGATGCAACCCATTACAGCTAACGGTTGCATAGGGACTATTTAATACAGATTTGAAGCTTGGTTGCACCACCGTTATGCTGTGCCTAGAAGGATTTGCAAAAAGGATACCTTGCCCACTTCATGTTGCATGCTCCGAATGTCAGAAATAAGATAGTTTAGCTGCCTTGGTGCAGTCTGAGCACATGGCAAGAAGCAAGCATAAGACAGGAGGCCTGAAAGTGGTACTGGGATAGATGCTCAGAGCTTCTCTCAGTTGGCTGTGCTGCCTCATGCTTGAATACTAGGCAGGAGCTAGTGAGCAGGACATGGTTCTTGAGCATAGCTTGGGCTCTGTACTTTCAGACTTCCCTGCTGTTTGGGTGAAGATAGCAATTCTCAGTGTAGATCAAGAATAGGGAATCTGAATGGAAGTATTGATAGTAGGGCGTGTTTCAGCTTAAAGGTCTTGGTGCTGGTAGCTTGAGTATTGGAGCTAAGACCTTGCCCAATCCGCCTACTTAACATAACACACTACCTTTCTTGCAGCAGTTTCCCAGCTATGTGGTCCTCATGGTGCAGAGCTTATTTTTAAACATGCTCTTTTTTTCTTTTTCTAGGCTGTGCGTGTTACAAAGCCCAAAATCCCTGAGGCCATCCGAAGAAATTTTGAGCTAATGTGAGTAGCTGCACAACAGATCTCCCATTGTTCAGCAGGTTCAGGCTGCCAACATAAACAGGTTGGTGTGCCATCATTGTAGGTGAATCGTGGTCCCCCTTTTACATACCTCCTGTAACAGCCACACTGGGGTATGTTATAGAGGCCCTGCCATATGATGTAACGCCTTATATTCCTCTTTGCGTTTAGAGAGATGATATGGCTTGTGCTGTCTGTCTGTGCATCTCCCTAGCTCTTACCACTGTAGCAGTATCTGAGCCCCTTACAATCATTAATGAATTCAGCTACCCAACCCCCTGCAATGTAGGGTAGTGCTGTCATCCTCCTTGTACAGATGGGGATCCCAGGACACGGAGACTAGACTGTGCCCTAGATTCCATAGGACCTAAATCTTCCTCCTGTGTCTTGATCAAATGTCTTAACTACAAGATATAGTGGCCTGTCCTGCAGTATTTTAATATCACTTACCATGTAAAACTGGACATTCTTAGGACACTTTACCCAGAAAGGGAAATGTCACCATCAGCATTTTACAGCTGACATTTTGGAGCTTGCATCTGCAAAGCTAGTTGAGGGTCAGAGCATGAGAGTGGTAAGAATCCATTTTGTAAGCCTGCACACATGGTTGCTGTTTTGTTTGGAGTGGGTTATAAAGTTTAAATAGCTTGGTTCTAGAAGATGTTCCTCACCATAAGAGCTTGACCTCTCTGTGATGGGTCACAATTAGTACTTATGCTCATTGAATCTCCCTGAAAACTCTGTTTCCCTTGTTCCTTATCTGTTTGTTTTTTGTAACTTGGCCTGAGTATTAGGCACTAAGGGTAAGAGTCTGTTTCCATTTTTTTGAGACCCAGCCCACACTTGATTGACATGTTCTTTGGTGTCCTAGTATTTCAGATGTTATCTTGGGAAAGGGACTAAGTGACCAGCTTAAACACCACCCAGCCATATGGCAGGTATAGTGATCTGGCCAGGGTCTCTTGTGGAAGGCTGAAGTTTGCTTCTCTCTCTTGTGTGGGTGCTGTGTCTCTGTCAGGTTTGTCTTTGTCATTTTGGAGCCATTGCATGTTTGGGCTTCCCAGGTGACAGCAGGAGGAGGATGCACTTGCTCTGGCACAGCTGCAGGCATCATCTGTTTAATGTGCACCTCACCAGAGGCTCTGTACTACAAAGGGTTCTACTGAGTGGCTGCCCCTGAAAAGCAGTAGGCTGCTCCAGCTAATGCAGTTGCTCATCTTTTGAAAAGACTCTGTTTGTCTGCTCTGCACTCTGTCTCAGAGACAGACTGCCTGTTTATTTTCAGGCATGGGTCCCAGTCTTAGTGATCTGTAAAACCTTCAGTGGTCTGTTTGATGAATTTAAGACTCAAATGTGCACAAGGCACTTGCGTGTAGAGCCATCTTTAATATAGTAACACCTTCCCTCGCTAAGCTTGTACTGGACACAGCTTTTCACTGCTCCTGTGAACCAGCAGCTGGCTGGCTCCCAGTCAGGTGTCTCCCTTGGAATAAATGCCTCTGTACTAGGGTGGTGTGGATGCTAACAAGTGTCACTCCATTTATTACCAAGTGGGTTCTAATTAGCTAATGGCTATTAAATGATTAAAGTAATGCTGATTTAGCTTAAGCTGGATTTTTCTTCTTTGCAGGCATCTAACACATTTTCAAATTGTGTGGTTGTGCTGCCACGCCGCCCCCTCCCTTCCCCAACTATTTCTGACTTTTTCTCTCCCTTTCTATTCACTATAGATAAGTACGAGTAAGTTAAGACATAGGATAAGATTTAGCATTTTAATTTGGTAGCAAGTTTTGTTTTCTTTTAAATTCTCGCCCCCTCTTTTGATCTACTTTTTTATATTGTATAATTATTATGTTTACATTGATCTTTACTGTGTGATCTTTTTACTGATTTTTACTGTTTTTTCTATTGATACTATATGATTTAGGCCT